TGGGTCACCACCAGATCACCACTAGATTCGCAATGGAGCTTATCACCACCAGCAGAAGCAGCCACAAACTTACTTCCTTTTGGAGTACCTGGTCTCTGCAAGAGGTCCCCAGAGGTCCTTGCTTTCCTCTTAGCGCGATTAGTGAGAAAATGTAAATGCTCACAATACTGGAAATATAATTAATCAATCTAATTTATAAGCTCCAACAATAAACTACAAGGAAATGCCGGCTCGCACCAAATCACTAGTAGGGAAATGCCAGCCTGCGCTCCTTGCTACAGAAGTTCCTTATTCCATGAAAGCATACATCCCCTTCTCTGTCACAAAAAAAAAAAAAAAGCAAGCCATGGTTCAATTGCACCCATTCTATTGTTGTTCAAGCAGGGTATCATTCTTATTGGGCAAAACCTGTTACTCATTTTGACTTCTTTTCTCCACGGAATCGTTGTAAACGATTAGGCTTAATATGGCTTTGTTGCAAAGAAATGTGAGGTCTCTTGCAAGCTACCTTTTCTAATTCTAATTACTCTTCCCTCTTTAAACCTGATGGTTCTGTAGCTGGTTCTCCTTACGGGAAAGCCACTATATTTACCTTTTTTTTATTTTTAGGAAACTCCACCCTTGATGATTCCGATCTTACTGATTTTCGCTTATCTAGGCCTCTTCCCTTTTTTCATACCGTAAAGTTCGCAGGGTGCTCATCAATCTAAGACTAAACATGCACGTGGTTCAGATGGCATTCCTTCTTGGGTCCTTGAGAAATGCGCCTATTTAATGAGCCCTATGCCTCAGTCTCAAAACTGTAATAAATTCCTCTTGGAAACATTTACTCATCCTGCCAGTTCCTAAAAAAATATCGTTCTAATCCTCCTCACTAGCATCCAATTGCTATAACTTCAACTATATCCAAGGTCTTTGATCCCTTCTAAATGCATTCATCCTTTGGCATCTAGAATCTTACTCTGCTATCTGATCGTCACTAGTGATATGCTCTCCTACTTAACTCATATCTGGTCTTCATTGCTTAAGGATGTTAGGGAGACTTTTGCCACAGATCTTGATATTTCCAAAGCTTTTGATAAACTTCCTTCTTTTTGCTTCCCACCTGTCCTCTGTAAACTTTATTTTACGTTCAAGAAATGATCATCTCTCCAACGAAGTTTCTTCTCTCTCTCAATGATCTCTCCAGTATAAATTTGACTCACAGATAACACAGCTCTGAATACCTCTCTATCTTTTAAATCTTCACCTTCTCAAAATCGCCCACAATCGCACCCTGTACAACTCGCAACTCCAACTTTGACAGAATCTTTAAAGGGGGTGAAAAGCATAGTTAATTCTAATGAAAGAAAAACTCCTTGTCCATTTCTTCTGACAATGATATCACTTTTAATAAAAGTCTTCTAGATTCAACTTTTTTGAGATTGATATTTCATCTAACCTTTTATTGCAGCATCATTATACTGCATTGCTCAATCTGCCTCCACAGGCTAGGAAATATGTTAAGGACATGTCTGTATTTTTCTTCTGAACAACTACTTTGGCTCTACAAAAGCCTCTTTCATAAATGCAAGGAGCACTCCTCAAATGTAAAGGGCTATTCACCTAGCAACCATCTTGACAGGATTCCGTCAAAAAACAACCTGCCTTATTAACTCACCTGTTTACCTTCCAGGTAACTCCTGTATCCTTTTTATACATATATTATTTTGACCTTCGTTCCCAAGTGTTGTGTGCCGCCACCACTCCCATGACTGGACAATCCTCTGCATGCAGTTCCATGCTATAATTATTATATGAAAATTGGCAACTCACTGATTGGCCTATATTTGTTTTCTCTCTGTAAATTTAATTTCTCTGTTCATTTTCAAATACTGATTATTTACTCTTATGATGGCCATTATTTTTTCATGTGATATGAAGGATCATTGAGAGAACACATTTTGAATGTGTTAGTTCATCAAGTTTCAAAATTGGCAGTTTTAAAACTGGGAGCCATAACTGTCTACTTGTGTGTAAAGTATTTCTTACACGGAATCTGACTCACCAAGATCAGTGCCTGGTTGCATTGTTAAAACATCAAGAAACCACTTCATTCTTTATCTGATTGTTGTTCCTATAATCTGTAACTATGTAATATTTAGCCTATCAATAGTTGGTTATGAAGTTCATAAATTTCTTGATTTTACAAAGATTGAACTCAGACCACAATAATAAATCAAAATGATCAGATCTGTAGTATTAAAGAATTATTACATATATATCAAAATGTCTAAGCTAAGAATAAATGTACTTTTCAGGCACTGTAGTCATTTCTCATACCCAGTGTGAGGATAGGTGTACAGCTGGCCTTTCCATAAACATTTATTAAGGGAAACATTTATCTGGCTACTTCTTTTGAGGATATAATAAAACCACATCTTTACAAAAAATACCTTTACTACATGTTCCATCAAGTATAAACAAAATGGGAAAATGTTAATGGTTATCTCTTAATCATCAACATTGTTATGGGATGGTAGAATTGTAATAAAAAAAAAAAATAAATAATAATAATCATAGTATAATACTTCTACTAGTAATAACAATAATGATAATGCTTAATAATAATAATAATAATAATAATAATAATAATAATAATAATAATAATAACAATATAAATGATCATTATAATATCAACAAGAAAAAACTTTTTGACATCTTCATACTATTAATAATCATAAAAATATATATATATTAATAGTAATAGAAATAATAATAACAAAAAATAATGATGATTAATAGCAACAATAATAATAATGACAATAAAATGTCAGAAATGTCTACATTGCACATTCTCAAAGTTTACAACTTTTTAAAAATATTACGATTTTCCCCATAAATAAAGACTATACAAAATCCTAAACACTAATTCGTACTGCTGCACAATATCCCATGCAGAGAGAGAAACCCCATCACCCTAACTTTTGTGAACAGCCTATTTTTTCCATCAAATATAATACAATAAACAGGATATATTTAAAAGCTCTAGTGAGATCAGATAATTTATACTTTGGTGAACACTGCGAATCACATTGACATTAATGTGAACAATCCAATTTTCCTTTTTGTCAGTAATATAAACAATCTAATTTTCCTTTTGTCAGTAATTTGAACAATCTGATTCTCTTTATATTAGTAATTTGAACAATCTGATTCTCCTTATGTCAGTGATGTGAACAATCTGATTCTCCTTATGTCAGTGATGTGAACAATCTGATTCTCCTTATGTCAGTCAATCATGTAGTGATGTGAACAATCTGATTCTCCTTATGTCAGTAAATTAAAAACAATAGTGCCTCGTAATCAACTAACCAGGGAGTGACTCGTGTGTTTCATTATATTTTTCTTCATCAGATTTTGATGCCTGAACCTTAGCAGCATTAATTTTTTTCTTTTTTACATCGATAAAAAGGCATGACAAATTTCCTTTGTACTTATAATGAGTATTCCTTGGTTCTATTAAACTGTGGAATAAAAAAAGATAGATTACCAGTAGAAAAAAAATGATAAAATGATTTTGTGATGTTTATATGATCTGACTTTAAACAAAGCAGAGGAGAAGAAGAAGAAGAAAAAGAAGGAGGAAGTGGTAACAAAGGAGAAAGAGGAGATAAAATGGTAGTAGAACAAAGAGGTACAATAATTACAAATATGGAAGTTTTTCTCTCTGGGAAATTAAGTCACCACAACAATGTGATTTTTATAGTTGCAGATGAACAGAAAAATGAAACATTTCCCCATTCCTACATACTATACTGCCACAAACATCAAACCATTCATCTGCCAAGCTAAAATTGTCAGTTGTTATCTGTATATAGATAAGGGGAGCACTCTGGGTATCTCTATGGTATACAAACTAGCTCCAAATAATGAATGGAACAAATAAAAAATAATTAGATAAATAAATAACATACTTCAAACAATTAGTCATTATTACACATAAATCCTGTTGAAATGCATATGTAAGTACAATCTCATCTTCATAGAACAGAAGAGGAGAGAATAATAATAAAATAATAATAATAATAATAATAAAAGGAGGAAGATAAGTAAAGAAAATAATAATAATGACAATTATTGTTTAACCACCCCTTCATCCTGTTCTGAAATGCTAATGTGGAGAATACAAAATTGTTAAATGGGGGTTTATGGGCAATACAATCTTATATATTTCTTAATACCTACAGTTCAGAGATTATCCAATATATAAAGATGAACCTCTGCATATTTTATACAATATTGTCTTGACGCAAGGAAAACTCGCACGAACTGCCTTTTCAAATTTGAATTCAGATTTTTCTTTTCCAAACAGACAGGAAAATATCTAAAATATATGACTATTTAGCAATAAATAAAAAAAACAACGGAAACATTCCAATCTACATTAAAAGTGATCTACATGCCAGTTCATTGTCATCTTTTGTTTTGAAATGAAATCCAGTCACAAAAGAGAATTACATTTTGACCAAAAGGAACAATGGCATGACCTTGTCTAGCACCATCCTAAGAAAGCTCATATTGCGTCCACTGTTCATGTGGTCACTCTTTTTATACAAGCTACCATACAATTCACAATTTTTGTGAATAAATTATTACAACTGCAGTTATCTCCCTTTCCTCTTAATATTTTGTCCTACAGTGATTCTACAAAGAAAAAATATATTTTGGTGTGTGTGTGTGTGTGTGTGTGTGTGTGTGTGTGTGTGTGTGTGTGTGTGTGTGTGTGTGTGTGTGTGTGTGGTGTGTGTGAGTGTGAGTGTGTGAGTGAGTGAGTGAGTGAGTGAGTGAGTGAGTGAGTGAGTGAGTGAGTGAGTGAGTGAGTGTGAGTGAGTGAGTGAGTGAGTGAGTGAGTGAGACGAGTGAGTGAGTGAGTGAGTGAGTGAGTGAGTGAGTCGTGATGAGTGAGTGAGTCGTGTGAGTGAGTGACGTGAGTCAGCAGAGTGAGAGTGACAAGTGAGTTGGTGTGTGTGCGTGCGCATGTGTGTTCGTGTGCGTGTGCGTGTCAATATATAACCACTATTCCTACGTTCATGACATTCCACAACACCAGCCCTTCCTGGGAAATAGAAAAGAACAGAGAACTAAATATAGGAAAAAATGAAGACCCTATGTGTCTTGTGCATGAGAAACTTAGAGGGATGAGTCATTCTGAACGGTAAGGAAGACCTAAACAGGATATCTCCGAAGTCTGTGTAAATGCACTTCCAGCATCAACAGGTAATAGGATATGGCACGGATAATGAGCAAACAAAGTGGTGCTGACACACGGCACATGGCTTCCCAATAGAGGTGTTTCTCATCATGTGTGGTGGCGGGCAGGGGGGATGGTGGCAGGGAGTCCATTATCACCTATCCATCTGAAACGTTGGTAATGAGTCAAGCCTACCAACATCAGAGAGGGGCCAGAGACGACACACAGCCCTTCCGCGAATCAGACCAGCTGGGACAGAGCCAAAAGTGCGAGAATCAGTCGAGTTGAGGGCATTGTCGCCTTCTAGCCAAACATGCCCCTTTGGCACCTGGAAGGAAAAGAGTGGTAGAGCTATATTCTGATGAGGGAGTCTAAAGCTTTGTCTCACATATAAAATGGATACAAAGAGATATATGTAAGGGAGAAGAGGATCTATAATCTGAAGAAAGATTTAAGATGTGGATATTAGACTATATTCTCAGGAGATATTCCAAACAACCTATATACTTAGAAGGGAATGTAATATCCCCAAAAGAGAAGGTAGCTAGCATACTGATAAAAAATGCTTTATATAATTTCTTCAGCTTTTCCAGGGAGAATACCATTTCCATGCTCAGCATCCTATTCCTGGCTACCATGAGTGGTATCACAGGTTGTATCACAGAAAATTGAATAATAAGAGAAATCATAAAAAATTACACTAGGTTATTGACTATTAAAGAGACGATATGGAGTCTGCAAGAAAACTATTACCTACTGTATAATATACAAATATGGACATTGGAAAATGGCAAAAAAGCTTAAAAGACCTCTGCAAAATAACACTGCAAAAGGGAGACATAAAGCCTTGTTACCACACAAAAGTGTTCACATGCACCCAGCCTATGTGCCACACACCAAGCAGAGCAGCCATTTACATAAGCCTATTGCCCGTATTTTGGTCCATGTGATTGACAAGAAGCAAACAGGTTCAAGGGGCTAAATTTTGACGTAGTAAATCTCCCTAGACCTGATACAGTTCTGTGATAAAGTTCCATGTTCTATATTATTTCTTTTCATGCTATGCTATAAATTAATACACCCATTTAAATTTTTTGTTACAATCTATAAAAAATCTACCTCGATACCAACTACGTTTTCATACATTTTGGTTTAGAACTTAACATATTGCATATAAACATGATTGAAATACCTGAAAACATAGAGCTAATAACATATACTGTTGGATGACTAGTCATAGAGGGGATTCATAAGTTCTAGGGGTGACATTCCAAAACGTCATCGAACGTCCTTAATATTTTAGGACAATATTTAAAGGAAATAATCTACATAATCAAAAAGGATGTAAAACACAAATTCAAAATATATTACACTCTCATCCTACTGTTCACTGATCTTTTCATAAGCAATTCTGATGCCACAGGTTTAACTAAAATAAGCCTATTTGCACATAGGTCAGTATAGTGCTGGGAGCTCCCTCTGTGTTTGGATTAAGTGAATAGATTTTCACAAAAAAATTTAACAAATAGTCAAATTCATCATCTGTGTCAAGACAAGCATCCATTCATTTCCAGTCAAATCCACTAACAAGAGACAAGGAAGGGGTACTTACAATGTGTATTCTGTATCCATTCTTGACCTTGTCCCCTCCAACTCCTGTGACCCGCTTGCAGATGTGATGGTGGGGGTTGGTGGGTGACCTTGCAATGATGACATCACCACGTTGGATGCGGTTGAAACGAGGTGAGATGTGCTCGGTCAGTATGACATCCTCCGAGAAGATAGTGGGCTCCATGGATGGGCCCTTGCACTGAGGAGTAAGAGGTGAATTCTAACAACTGAGGATATTGGATATTCAATCATATGAAACATTCCTCCTGAAGGACAATAAGCAAACCACAGGGCTCGTACAATTCAAATCTAATGGTGTGAGTGTGTGGGGTGGGGGAGCTATTGTGTCTATTAACATACCTATTCCTGTTTTAGAATAAAATAATCTCTAATGCCTTTAATTCTGTAGTTATTCTATCATACAAATAATCCTCTTCAAAATTGTGCATCTCTCTTTGGAAAAATATGAAATGCTAAGGAGAGGCTATAATAACAAAATGGGAGCACGTATAAGAAGAAAGATAGCTTTTTTACAACAATCATGATATCAGTTTGAGAATAAAGCATGGTTTCTAAATTGGATAATTATCATGATTACAAAATAATGTAAATAACAACAACAACAGTCAACCCTTTAATGAAAGAATTTGCAATTGAATGTGTAGGTTCTTATTCAATTCCCACCCTCCAAAAAGAATAGCTGATCAACTAACCACATGAATGGTGGTGGGATAAAGTATACTAACTTGTGTGTGCCGCCACAACCCTTGCTTCCACCATAATAAAAAACCTGACAACTTAAACTTTCTGATGTACCAATGTGGTTATTGATGCATGAGAAATAATTACTAATAAACAAAAATGTAAAGAAGAATAACCAAACACTCAGAGTTGAATCTTGTTATTGAGTATCGAATATGATATAGCCCCATCAGATAGGGCACTACCTGTTTCAAGAGAAACAGACAATCTGCCTATAAAACAGGTTTTCAGATCACACATACTGATATCAGACAGTGTATGTGAAATGTAGTTATGAACTAATTAAAAATGAAAAATCAAAATAAAAGCTAATGCTATTATATAATTGTGAGTCAAAAATTATCATTGGTCATACTACCACCCTATTAGCAGTATGATTATACCCCAGGAAGGGGTAGGGCCTCCTCTAAATCCAGAATGAAAGCATTAATTTCAATAGAGTTATACAATATAATTAGCATACAGTCACAGATTAACCTCTGTTTGATAAATCTGTATCATTACTCTTTTCTTGCAGAAGTTGCTTGATCCACACAACCATGTCTCAGCTTTTGCTTAAATAATGAAACTGCATTATACAGGAAAATGGATATTGAAAACTTGAGTTATCAAACTACACATTATTCCATCAAAGTTTGAGTAAAATGTTGATAGATACTTAAATATTGCAAAGCAGCATCAAAACCTATCAAGGTAAGATCAGATCGTGTACAGCAGCAGCAGCTAAAGACTATAATGTTGGACAATCTCAATTTAATTATCTAAGCAGTCTCAGTTCTTTGATTAGAATGCTGGGCGTTTATTTTCGGCTTGAAAATACACCAGCGGTTGTGGGTTAAAAGTAGAGAAAAAACGAATTTGAATTTTAAAAACCTTATTAAAAAATGCATAAAAGTTTTCTCTAACCTTGATAATCCAACCATCAAGTAAGAAGATAAT